TAGGAAGAAACAGCTATCGAGCTCTTTCTAGTATACATATTCCTAGCTTCGACTAGTATAGGATGACTAAATAGTTAATAAATTAACCAACCTCTATTAAACCTATTCAACCGAATCCATTATTTTTCAGTAAACACTGAACTCTACACAAACATTTTTTATATCAGTAAATATTTACCTAGTCTATTTAAATGACATCACTTTTTAATGAATCGCACTTTTATACAACGAGTAGCTAAGTTCTGTCTATTGAACGTAATCTATTGTTTCTTAATTACATAATATATAACTAGAATAATTTTAGAACTATATGAGCTGAGCAAGAGAATCAACAAAGCTCTTAAAATCAGAATAAATATATTGCGGTTTTAGCCCAAACTTGGTGAATTTAATAGTTTTAGACAAAGATAGTGCCAGACAGTTCATGACATTCAATGAATAAATACAATAAACTGTTTATTTGAGTTGATGACATTAAAATATTTGGTTCCGTCATGTGAATTTTACGATCTCCGTTATTTTTTCATGAATTTTATTTATAGTTTGTGTTTGTTAGTTCTTTTTGTTCCCTTTATGTTCAGTGTGGTTGAATGTTGACCAATTCTGCCATAATCCCAGGAAAATTATAATTATAATCTTACCAGAATTACCTTTTTCTCATACAATTACAAGTATCAACTATTAGATATCACATAATCAAATTATGTCGTTTGGTCATGATACTATTTTTATCAGACCCAAAAATTATACCCCCAATTCGAATCAAATTAACCCAGTTGTTTAATAACATTTAAACAACAGTTGAGGAATTAAGAAGAATTGAACAATATCTTATCTTAATATGAGGGGCTTGAGCATTGTGTTTCCATGTGAGGAAGTGAGGCGATAACCACTGGTGTCAGTCTCGCTACACCTAGTGAATTAAGTTGACATGCGAACCACGTAATTCAAATAAACAGTACAAGGCAGCATGCTTGCTGTGAAACCTGGGTTCGATCACTGAAGGAGTCATGGATGTTCACCACTGAGCGCCTTATGTAGAGACAAACTATTTGTTCAGTGAGCTCTGAATTTTAGAAATTTACAGGATGACATTCTATGAGAAATATAGAGTGCGAGAAAACCAAAACACTGATATTTGGTTCACAAATCTGGCACATTTATAACTGGGAACTACTAGTACTAACGCATTACGGTAGTCTAAATGAAATATATTTGTAAATAAATTTCATAAGCTATTCCTCAGAGAAAATCAGATAGTTTCAGTTAAATTAAACGCACAAACACAAAAAACTGAATATTAAGTCTGTTTATCATTAAGCGTGTCATTAGCAGAAGACCAGTAAGTATATTTATATATAACCATCTCAAGTAACATTGAAAATAGTAAAAAATAAGTCACAAATCCACAGTTTATTAACACCATATCGCAGAATAAAATTAGAGCCTGATGTATCAGTTAGTAGTAGCAGTCCATATCGTCATCAGCAAATGTGTCATATTAGTGCTAATAATGATGGTAGCAATTATAATGACAGTAAAAATTACAAGAATGTCATAAACATACACACACACACCAGAGAACAATTATGAAAAATAGGAAAACAAGTTAAAAATTAAAATAAAACAAACTGATTAGAATCATCATTGTATGTGTTGTGAATAGGAAAAAAATACAGAAATACTAAGGAAAAAGAATTGCAGACAACCTTTCATAATGTAAACATATATGATGGTGAACTTTATTCAAAACACAAGAAGTATTTGTCAGAACTTCCTTCATCTTTAGTTGCCTTTAAAATAGAAAGACTAGGTCATTCATCAGGAAAAGCAAATAATGTACAATCGTAAATTCTGAAAATAAGATCAACGAGTCAAATAATGAGACAATGTCACCGAAACCATAAGTCGGAAGTCGATCACATGCACGTGTATATGCAGGCGACGAAAATAAACAAGCAAAAATGGAAGGAGGAAACACAGACTAAAAAAAATTAAACAAGGAGTTCACAATGCAAAATAGCAAAAAAAGGCAACTTAGATAAAAGTATATCTGTTTAAATTCATTTTCAGCTGTTATTATTTATTTTTCTGATTATTTATTAAAATGAATCAAATGAAAGGAAATAAGCACAAACACTATTTGTTAGTTAAGTGAAATGAGAAACAATGTCTGTTTCACTCTTGATCTAATTGATCATCCATTAAAATGTATTCTCTTGACGCAATCATACTTATATATTGATTCACGATATCATAAATAAATTAATGGATGTACGAAAGAGAAAGGAATAATGGATACAGAATGAGGAAGAGGGAGTAATCATAACATAACAATATTATTAAATAAACAATTGGAATAAAAGGGAAAATGACATATTTCCAGTTATTAAACTTGATAATTCATTAACATTTTCATTAAGGAATAGATGTGAACAAACTAATACACGTATACATTAAAATGTATAAGATTAGTTTGATACTATTTGTATTACTCTGCATTATCACCGATTTCGGTAACAAATATCAACAATCGATAAATGGAAAGTTTGATTTTTCTTTTATCTTAATCTTCACATGAAGTTCTGTTTTCTAGAATTCTTGATTATTTATAGGAAAAATACACTTAAGAATAAAACTATTTACTTGGTTCATAAAATTGAGACAGTACAATGTGATTAAAAAAAGGTGAGAAGAGTGGAAAAAACGAAGCATAGTAAATTTAGAATATCATGAAGTGATGAATAACACTGAACAAATCACTGTGTTTCGTAGTAGGGAATACACTGAAACTTAGTTAATACTCTTGAAGAACTTTATTGTCTACAAAACAGATAGACGAGTAGATAGTGCATCTAAATAGACCGATAGGAAGAATCGAAATGAATTAGTATACGAAAAATTCTAAAAAGTGGGTAAACACATGTAGTAAATACCGAAGATGATGGAAGATGTTATTCTATGCTCCGTCTGTTAGATAATTTTTATGGTCCGTTTATGTTATATTGTATTGTAAGAAAAAAAAACGGAAAATTCGCCCACACAAAAAATGTAAAAAATAGAAAATACAAACAAACAAAGTAAATCTTAACTGATGTTTTCTTTTTCTGGGAAGAGAAGTAAGAAATTTGAAATAAAGTCTCTATTTATCGCTAAACGAGTTGCTCTATTGTTTTAATGAATCGAACTTGTAAAAGTAGAAAATGAAATGAATAATAACATCAGTTCTAACAACCACAAAAGAGAACAAAACAAAAAAAGCGTATTAGCATACAAATACGATGAAGAACAACAAAACCAGTGATTGACTTCACTCTTTACATCATCATGTAAAGCGACGTGTTGCTTACTCTCTGTATTCGACAGGACGTTATAACTGATTATCAGTTTTTGTATGGAAAACGAAAATTCACAAGCGCATTTTATACGTTCGCTCTTCAAAAATAAACGACAATGAGTTAACTAAAGAAGGAGACGCAACGTAAACCAATAAAAGTAATAATAACCAGAGAATAAAGTGAAATCAACAAAGAACAACTTAAAGAAGAAGGAAGGAGGAAGAAAACCAATCCATACATGCACCTACACGGGGATTATTTATTGATCAAACCTTAGAAAACGTGAAAAATATCTTACCGATGACTACAGTGAGAGAGATCATTCTAGTGGAAAAGCACACAAAAACTAACAGGTAAAATAATCGGGGTACATAATCTTCATGATATCAACAATGTGAATAGAATAAAAAGAGAAATTAGAAGATTTGGTAAACGGAGGAAAAATAACATCACTATATATTTAATCAAAATACACAGAAAAAATTATTGTCATTACGTTGCGCTTAGTAATAATAATATTACTATTATCATTATTATTAACATTGTATAATCAAGATCAGACACATAAAATATATATCCAGAGTGTGAACTAAGAAAACAATTTAATATCCAACAAGAAACATCGTTTACATTACACATCTAGTTACACCGATGAACAGATATGAAGATTAAAAAACACAATAAACTCTCCACAGTGCAACATACATTAAAAGATAAAGAAAAATTCAGTTCAGAAAGCACAAAAAAGCGGACAAACCAGAGGAAAATACAAAGGATGAACCAGCAGCTATTGTTTAAAAAAACATAAATACACAGGAGGATGAAGAGACTAGAAGTAGAAGAACTAAACTCCACTTCTTTCCAATATGATTTGTCTAAACTGGTTTCTGTTATTCAAGAAAACAACCTTTCGAGTATCAACATAGTATGTGTACACAATAAATCATTTGAGTGACTAAATTGAGGACGAAACAGAACTGGATAAGTAGAAACAACAACGAATATGACATAGGGAAGCATGTCTATCAACAAAAGCGATAGTGTACTTTTCAAGTTTATCATTATATACACACTAGTGGGGGTAAAATTATTGTAAATCTTTCGCATCCACCCCAAGAAAAATTGAACAGCAAGTATATATGTGAGCAAATTCAGTAGTAAAGTGTAATATTCAATATTTTTCGTCTTCGTTTTTACATTTTGGATGATATATATGTAAGCTGAATATTATTACAAGAAATAAGGAATTCATAACAGTTTCTTTACTATATTCCCTGTCACATTCAAATCGTATTTTACAGATTTTCTTTAGACACAATCGAGCATTAAAAAGAAACATGACAACTTTGTGAACACTAACTTTAATACAAGCAGGTAAACAACAAACAGAGGGATTTGAAAAGAAAGACAATTGTAGAGAAAAATAACGTGAAATAAATCTGGCAAATTAACAATAATCAGTGATGGAAATTCAGAGGGAACGAGGAAAAACAGGAAAACGATAAGCGGACAAAACTAAAAGGCAGATGGTCAAATTTTGTTCTAAATAATGGAAAAAACATTGTGTGTGACTTGAAATTTAAATGTTCTGAATGAAAAACGGTTTTGGGGGGAGTAAACTTAAATACGACTTGAACTGAAAGCAAAATGAAATAAAAACAATTACTTTTTAGTGGAATTATCAGAGCTAGTAGCCGGTATTCGAGGATTTGTATCTCGAATATTAGGTGAGATTGATGGATACGAATTTAATGTAGCATGTGCCGATTTTGTTACGGAATTTATGTCAGTCTCACCATTACTATTCCGGAGACCACCAGAACTTGATGAACGATGTGTGTCATTTTCATCCGCAGTTGTCCGACTAGTATTGCTTTTCGAGCTGACACGCCGATAGCTGGAGATTTGAGTGGAATCTATAGTGTTAGGAGTGACAGTAGGTGGGTTAGGTGCTGGTCTTCTGTCGCTTTGACGAGATGTGGAACCAAACGTTCGAACGGAAGTACCAGTGCTAGTTGATGCTGAACTATCTCTTCTAGGAGGCATACGTTCATTAATCTGATCATATGCTTTCGCTTGCTCAAAAGAGATGATTTTATTTCTGGGTGAAACACCAGAAAGTGCTAAATAATTTTAGAGTAAAAACAAAAAAATATTTTAAGTAAAATTATTCACCAGCACAACAACATAAGTAAAGATGGATAAGCAAATGACTATTGTTTAAAGTACATTGGTTGCTAGAGTACTTAATTAATAAGCATACCTTTATTTAATGATTCTTTTCCTCCAGACAGTGCACCTAATGGTAACATCCCATTTGGTGTCAAGCCTTTCAGTTCAAATACAGACTCACTTTCTTCTCTGGAGTGAAATAAAAGTAAAAAACAATGAAGATATTAATAATATTTACAAATGTATCATGGAACTACACAAATAGTCTTATGAACACAAGTTATATACATTCGACATAGGTAATAATTGTTGCACTTAAAAGAATATTTCAAAGAAGTTGACGGAATAAATTGAGATTGTGAAAAGCTGATTTTTAAAGCTTGGATAATATTTTAATCGAACAGACTGAAATACTGATCACAGCTTCGTACTGGGCTAAGTGATGGAGAAACGTCAGTCATGTATTACAGGCCAATAACCGCTTTCATACTTCAGATAAAAAAAGCACTTACTTCGTTAGAAATAAGTGTTTTACAATTGTCTGCTAAGAAAATAACGACCTCGGTAAAACACTTTATGCATAGCTAACAAATAAAACATTCTATATTTCTTCTTCTCAACTATCTACAGAGTCGAGTGAAATTGAACAATCCTCACTGAAAGCATTCTCTGAAACAAATGCTTCGTTTCAATGAACACATACTACTCAAAAGTGAGTAACATACAAATCATTCAAAACGTCACAATGTAGTTACTGATCCGTGAGTTCAGCAATGGTATTCATCATATATCATATTATCAACACACACAATGACAATTGTGGTTAATGAATGTTTATAATTTAGTGATTTATTTACATCATATGTTATTTAGTGAAGGAAAAAATAGCTAAGTAAATAAATACTTATGTGCTTTATAAGGTGACTTCATTTACTGTGTGAACATCATGATTACTCGATAATAAAAATCTTATTGATATAAAGCAAAAGAAAACACACCAAATAAATTTCACTGTGAAATATATCAATCATATTGTTAAACAAAAAATAGATGGGATAATAATCATTCAGCTAGTAATGAATCATCCATGACAATTAATACGACGGAAAGTTAGTTCGAATTGATAAACTCTGAAAGATAATTTACATTATGGATTAAACAAGGATTGATAAGCAGAAAGCCCTTCGTTCTGGTTTAAAATTACGACACCCCTCTTAAAAAAGTAAGCCAAAACTATCAAGGTCTCGCAGTGAGTTCATTACTCTTAGACCACTGAATCAGCATTCATAGATCTAATGTTTCAAATTCAGTCAATATTCTATAACCGTCACTGACAACAGTTTCACTTAACATGTGATTGAATTTTATTAACATAAGTTTGGTTTGAATCAAACCGAAAAATATTTATTATAAATAACGAGAATTTCCGAAAAGTGATAAAAAAACAAACAATATACACCAAAATCAGATTAAAAATAACAAATTAAAAGTTCATTCCTGATAGATAACTGTCATGAGAAAATATGTGAAGTGAAAAGAAACAGTGAAACGATAGAAAGGTATAGCGAAAATCTTAATAACAACTGATCAATTTATTCAATACTCTCGTATGGCCATTTTGACTGCACAATCACATTTTTGATCATATAGAAACTACTTGTTAAATAAAAACAGAAAAAATTGTGCCAGTTTAGAAAGAAATTAACAGTTATACTTTAGCTGGATTAGTATACAAAATAAAACTTAATGATAACTGAAGAGAAACTATTCAAATAATAAAAAAGTAAGGAAGTAATAACGTTAGGAGGTTAGGAGTAGTTGAGATGACTTAGGTTTCATAATAATTGCCATTCGTTAGATGTTCACTTGTAAGATCTTCAAAAACTTTACGCTACCTATAGAACTTGAAACGGCATTTCGCACCTTCCTTGCCTGAGACACTAGCACTAAGACATTAAGGTCGTCTCAGGCTGTAAATTTGGGTGACACTGACTCAATTTCGACAGTGAACATTAGCCCACACAAGATTGCAGGTACCTCTTATTGAGCTGTTCTAACCTAGCACTAAACGTAGGTCTAGGGTTTCCTTGTGACTACCTTTAACTGGTCAACATCAAAGTACAGTGCGTGCGATGTCAAGCTACTTAGATCAATAACTACATTGCAAATGGATAGAAAGAATTCGATCAATGCTAGAAACTAGATAACAACATTAGCCACAACTCAATGACCAATTAATGTGCACAATTATCAGAGGAAATTATTGATTAGTTAAAGATACATCATCCAGAAATCATTGTAGTTTTGAAAAATGATCATCATTATGAAGAAAATTTCCTTGTAAATAAAATAATGGAAAATCTAAAATATGAAAAGTTTTAACAACAACAAAATTATACTATATGAAGAAATTACAGACTAGTAACCTAATGAAATCCTTTAACCATTGAAAAAAAGGATGAGTGAACTAATACATCAAGCAAAAAATGTACTAATAATCAGCAAAAGAGGGAAATGAAAATATATTGAAGTTTAGAAGATAAAAATCGAGCTTTACTTAAAAACCTTTTTCTTAAGACAAAAATAAACCTCAGTTTGAGGTTGTGTTGGATAATGTTAATATAAATGTTTTACAAGTAACATTCGACACAAGAGTATCTAATGATATCTATGATCATTATATAATTTAGAAAAATTAGTGAAATCTCAGCAGCAGTGAATCAACACTGCACACACTTACCTTAGCACTGTGAAAGTACGAGCCATTTTACCGATTGCACGTATTTTATTACGAATCACTTCTTTACGAGCAGCTACAGTGCCACCTTATTTTTTAAAAGAAAATAATGTAGAAGTACAAATGATAGAATCATTGCTTTATTGCATAAAATAATGGTGGGCAATTAATAGTACTATTTAAACATTTTCAAGAAAAAACAATTTGGAGCTGTTAAGGGCCACTGACAAACAATTAATGATCAAAAGAACAGAATATCACTAAGAACAAAAGTAGAAAACAACCAGAGAGAATATGAGCAGATTTGGAACAAATGGTTCTGATGAATAGATTCGATGAACTATTTTTGCAAGAAAAATATTCCTGTTGGTATTGAGTTCTTTGACATCAATGATTTATAATTTTATAAATGAATTGAACAACCGATGAGTTGTTCATAAAGATAATAGTAATGATAAAAGTAATATTACTACTATATATTTTCAATTTCGCAATGAGTAGAAATTAAATTTCTGATGTTTCGTAACCGTTCATTATCATTCTAAACCAAATGATTAGAGTCGACCTCAGATAAAATTGAATGTTATTTGGAATCTCAATACACAGGGCAAGTTCGATTGTGATTAGCTGTTTTCAAGAACTGTGTTCTTTTTTCATGTACATCCACATCCCCGTTGACTGTCGCAACAGGTATACACGACCATAAGATGGTCGGATGAAATCAACGTAAAGAGTATATAGACACTATAGAAGCCCCAGAGGTTTCTAGCCTAAATGCCTGGGAATTTCTTCAACCAGATATATACCCATATGGTCTCAACGCATTGATATCAAAGATGATACATCGAGTTATTTAACTAATAATCTATGTTTATGAATGGATATATGAAGTAAAAGCTTAGTTGGCAACAAACTTCAAGTTTATATTGCCATTTAATGACTACTATTGTCAACTTTGACTACTTATTGAGCGAAAAATTGTGATCGCGACATCTTTTCTAAGTAACAAACCACCAATTAACTATTTTCATAATATAACTTTGACCTAAATACCTAATCTTATCAGTATTATATAATCATTCACATAACAACGTTGAACAAAAGCTTTATGCATACCTTCAAATGTGTCATCACCTTCTTTCATTAATTCATCGTCAGAACATATACTTAACACATTCATAAGCATTTCTGTGACTAAATGAATAAAAAGTAACACAAATCAGTATATATAAAAACAAAAATTAGTATATGGATTGGGAGAATATATACTACTACTTACTACTAGCTACTAATATAACTACCAATAACAGTAGAAGTAATGGGCTTAACAAGATGATAGCATATAGAAATTAGTCAGTAATACAAGAATTATCACTGTGGCGTAATCGAAAGAAAATATTACAACAATACAGCATCTTTTATTACCCTCAATTATTTAGTGGGTAAAGTAATTGGGGTTCAGTTACTAGATTGGATGGAGGCTTCGAACACTGTCTTACCAACTTAATGTTGAATAACCACCTAGAATCACTAGCTTTCACATCTAAACTGTGACTCGAAGGCGAACATATAAACTTATAATTAATTAATGAATTACCTATATTAAATTTTTAGTGCAGAAATACATCAGCAGTAATGTTTTGGTCTAGAATGTCAAACGATGTTGAGTTAACTGTTAAGTCTCGAAAAAAATTAATTTTTAGTTTCATGGATATTGATTGGAAAAAGTAGATAAACTAGTTTTATAATAATTTCACAAATAAACAGCAATTAATATCACACAAATATTTAATAACTTATGCTAAAGAAAACTGAGAAATTCTAATTGTAATACAAAAAGCGAATATATATATATATATATATATATATATATATATATATATATATCAAGTAGCTTGATATGTAAGTGTTGCAGACAATGTTTACCATAAACTGATTCCAGTTTAAGGATGATCAAAATTAGTGGACACCTCTGTCCTAAGTTATAACTACTGAGAAGTAACTATTTACAAGCCCACCAAGGATTTGTACAAGGTCTCATTATAAGCACAATACCCAATTAGGATCCAGTGGTCTATAATGTCAATCAAAGTACATTTGAAGAATCGAATACAGTTTTGAGTAATGGAATAAACAGACTAGAATAATGGAATCTTACCACAGAAGATTAGACATGGAGTCGCCAACCTTAGATCATAAACGAAAGTCAGCAAATTTATAAACAGTATAATATCAGTAGCATCAGTACAATTACACAATTATTGTGTAGACATTTTGAAAATTTGCAAACAATCTAGTAGTCTGGAGAAAAAATTCAGTACTTCATTCGCACAGTTAAACAGTAAATACGAAAAAGTCGCTAGGAAATATTTGATTTCAAGTATTCCTTTCTCTAGAAATTTTTATTAGAATGAGGATAAAAATAGGGAACACGAATATTCAATCAAAAGACGAATTAAACATCGTTCATTTCACCAAAATCTATTTTATCTTTTTCCTCTACTAATACACCAACAAGTAGTGGTCATGTTAAGTTACAAAATGTTAAAGTGGTGAAAAGTTATCAACATTTTCATATTCCAATCTAGGCACAATAATCTGGTAATGAAATTCAATATTCAGAGGCTCCGCAAAAAGAAATAAGATATTCTTTCAGCAAAAAAGAACACTTATGTGTTACAACCAAGATTTATCACGTTTAAATAATTCGTGACATAACTCTTAATAACAAAACTACAAAAACATTAAATTTATTGGCAAAAAACAACACAACCAAAATATAATATCTGTTTATGACAAAATTAAGAGAGAACAGAAAAAAACATTTTTGTTTAACATTGAAATCATTAAGAAAATCATTGATTAAGATTTCGTAAATGCTGATTGGTTGTTTCCCATCAACCAATGTGGCATATGATAGATATTTTATTCAAAAGCAGAAAAAAAAATTAAAATAATGTTAAACACAACTTAATAATACGTCAATGTACATGTATATAATGAATAGACACACACACACACACACGCACACATAAACATCCACCATATGGGGCATAAACAAGTATCAATTGATACTAACAACAAATGAGATAATTCAATGAAGTAGAAACAATGAAAACCAATTAAAACATCATAATACCAATAATCATAATGAAAATGAAAATAATAACGGATTGTATAAAAGCTAATAACACACGATAATCTATCTTTCTCTTTGGGAACAAAATTAACAACACTTCATCTTATGGTAGAGATCATTTTTGGGTAGATATATACAACAACAAAAAAGTAAATGAAATCAATATCAAAGTTTGTTGATTTGGATCTTTATTTTCAGCTGAATACTTACTCGTAATCCCTTCTTTTCACAACTTATATCCTACCTTTTTTTATTCAGTAGTAATAGTTATTGTTGTGAAGGAAGGCAGAGAACGAGATAGCGGGGAAAGAAATGGAGATGGAAAGTTGAGAAGAAAAAGCCTAACAAAACAAAATAATTAAAGCAGTAGATAATTATATTAATTACAGTGATATACACAATTCGAATGTTATACTAAAAACCTAACCTTTTTCACCGACAAACGGTAAAGACCAAGTGAATACATCCATAAAGTTTGGAAGCCAATAAGGATGAGGTGAACAATTAAATTGTCGTATATTCATTGTATTATTTTCATATTTAAGTATGGCAGCTAGTTAAAACAGAGAAAAGTGCTATTTGTATTTTGTTTTTTAACAAGAACAACAATCTAAGTAAAATACAGTACCGAAAAAATATGTACTAAGTCTTCACAGTATCTCAGCACCATCAGGTTACGAGTGGAACACAACAACTATAGTGATGATAATTTATTCTGGTGAATAAATATGTTTACAAGTAACTTGATCAGTAGTATGACAATATGCTCCCCCCAAACAGTAATAATAATAGTTTAGAAAAAGTAAAAATAGACTGAGTCATTTATATGAACTAAAGGGTAACTCATAGGTTGGACTCATTAAGAATGAGATGAAGAGACAACTAAATACAGAGATATGGAAGTTCATTGCTTAAATAGTTAAACTGAAACTTCCTGACGAAAAAGAAACTATGGTAGTGTTTTGAATATGAAAGAGAATAAAAAATCCCACCGTGGTAATAACCTGTAAAGAACTTATATCACGAACTGATACCAAAAGTAGAGCACTAATCAAAGACCAAATGAGTTTTAAACAGTCGTGTTTATTTTCCATTTGAGATTAGATTCGGAGAAATGATGGTTATAGGTACAAACCGATGAAAAGCGTGATTCTGAAGAACAAACCACCTTCTTTAGTTTACAATAGTTCTTTATCTAACATCAATCCATTAATGAACTAATATTTACAAACTACATTATGTTTTAATAATGGTTTCTAGTTTTCTGTTGTTGGTATTGCGGACAGAAAATGATCAGTCTTTATAACCTATATGTTCAGCTGAGAAAATTGTCTCGACATAGTAGGTTATAGGTTTCTCAGTATATTCCGTAAGTGGCTAGCAATAGAATTCAGGATGCAAGTTTCATTCTACTTTGGACTCCCAAATAGATGTACTTCCACACTAACGTTGATTTTCACAGTGAAACTCGGACTCATTAATCCTACTTCAAACGCACGAAGCTAACAAGCCACAAATAGGACGGGATAACCACTCTGGATTCTATTGCAAACAGCATGCTAAATAGGTTTTCCGTTTTGTCAAATAAATAACTAGTTTCTGTAAAAAAAAAGTATAAGTTATGAAATAATGCAATAAAAAATTATTGTTAAGGCAAAAAAGTAAGCATGATAAAGCAGGGAGACGGTAAACCACTAACGTTTGAAAACACATTTTTATTAAAACAATATTTCGGTCTAAATTATAGGCTAGATTTCAAAATAAGGTTTAGTCAACTGACAAAAAGATATGGACAAACTATATACATTTTACAGTGAAGACAGATTTCATTGAGATCACGAATCGATCAATGTTAGACCACCATTGAAAACCTAGAAGCGCTGGATGACCGTTTCGTCCTATTATGAGACTCCTCAACAGTGCGCATCCACGATCCCGCACGCGGGACTCTAGATTAAGAGTTCGTGCGCGAGAACGAAAGTCCTGAGTTCGAATCCCGCGTGCGGAATCGTGGATGCATACTGTTAAAGAGTCCCATACTAGGATATAACGGCTGTTCAGTGCTTCCAGGTTTCCAGTGGTGGCCTGACATTGGTCGATTTATGATCTCAATCAAAATCTCAACAATATCCCCAATCCCATACTGAAAATTAGATTTGGCTTACTCTTTCATCCGATCATAATTTCACAACCGACTATTCAGCGAAAATATGCAAGATGAGTCAGTTAAGGCATATACGAAACTATGACTAATAACGCCCGAATTATTTCCACGAAAGACTTTTTCTACACAAATACACAATATACTGGAAATAGTAATGGAAAATATAATTAAAAACAATTAAATCCAGCTCACCTTTGTTGTTATACACATCAAGATAATTAGGAGCACTAAATATGGTGATGAGTGAAGGAAAATTAGTGGCCTGATTTTTTCGATACATACGATAACTAAACATAAAATAAAAAAAATATTGTGCAAATTGTTATTATCATTTAGATAGAGAGGAAACGTGAAAATTGGTCTGTAAAAATTTTATAACCACTACAACAATAACAACGAAATTCATTTGAGCAATTCCTGAATTGCATATCATCTTATTAAATACAGTTTTGCTTAAGATCAAGAATTACAAATGAAAACGTAGTATAGTTTTTTACACAATGTGCCAAAGCTGCAATTTACATGCTACTTGGTAGTTTCAGTTAATAAGCGTTTATCTGTGGATTCATAACAGATTGTGTATATTAATTAGTTACTATTTTATCTAACAAAGTTATCAACACGGAATTTTTACATACAATAATAAAAATTTGAAGTATAGGGTTGTGGAGACTGTCGAGTATTATTTCATTCACGAACCAATCAATGTTCAACAAACATTAAAAACCTGATCAGTTCGTTTGTCGTAGAATGGGTACCCACTGCTAAGAATAATATCAGGAAAAAAACGACCTTCCAGTACTTGCAGGCTCTCAATGGTTGCCTCAGATCGGTTCGTGATTTAAATGTAATATCTATTTCACTACACTTTCTTTTGAACATTAAATTTTCGGCTTCTTTGCTATTATCAAAAACCTCAAAATTCATTAACTCATTTTTCATTATACCTTATAACCACTGCACTTGCGATACAAAGCAGCACCACCCACTGGTGGTAATAAGCCAGGGTAAAAGATGGCTAGGAAGCAAAAACAAGAGTGGTGAAGAAACTGGAAAATCTGTGTCACTAAAGTCATAGAAGACAGCATTTTCTCCCATAAACTCATACACAAAGCTACGTCAGTTTTACCGAACCACACTGCGAAACACCAGACTCATCACATACGCAAACGTAAAATATTCAGATGGTCCATGAAAAATATAGTAACGAAGGGAGCAGAAATTACATATCCTGATCACCACCTGGTGGTGACCAAGCTTAAGAAGAGTTCGACAATGGAAAAGTTAGCATCACAAAACTTTAATACAGCCTTCCTTCGAAATTATAACAAGCTCGTTCAGTCCAAGATAGATCTCGGCAACAAGTTACAAGCCTTACGTGATCTATCAAAAAACAAAGGAATCTACTGTAGAGGACAACTAGAAAGGAATTAACAAAGCAATAACTTCAAAATGTCAGGAGTGCTGTGCCTCAAGAAACACGATGGATCTCCGCAAACAACCTGTCCATGATTCTGGGAAGCAAACAAGGAGATAGTTGTGGTTGAGAGTCACGCAACCTTATCAACAGTGTATTTTTAAACCGAATGAAAAATTCAGTAGACGCCCAAATTCGAAATGAAGAGGCTGGATTCCGAAGGAGTCGGTCGAGTACAGACCAAACCACGACACTATGGATCATTGTTGAGCAGTCAGTTGAATAGAACTAGCCACTAAACATCAGCTTACTTGACTACGAGGAAGCATTTGACAGCATGGATATAAGGACCTTATAGAACCGTCTTCGATACTATGGAGTACCTAGAAAGAATGTCATTGTCATACGAAATTATTACGGCAGACTGCATTGCAAAGAAGTGCATGGCCAACTCACAGACGGATGAATTTCAAGTGGAGACTAGTATCAGACAAGGTTACCTATTGTCACATTTCCTCTTTCTGCTAGCCGACGGCTGAATTACGAAGACCTCCACACTTTACAAGAAGCACGGGATATGGTGGATATCTTTAACTCAGCTGTATCATTTCAACTTGGAGATCACAGTGCTCAGCTATCGCATACAAACCAATTACAATACATGCATTTTAAAGCAGCTTTCGACACAAGAATTACCACGTCCATTGACCAACTATTATAAGCCATAACCTATTCAGATAAAGAACAAACTGGCTGCCAGCTAAAGAAAAAACTAGGAAAAGATACTGGAGGCAGATAGGATATACCATGTATCGCAAAGCAAGCTCTAAATTCAATTCATTAAGACAACTGGGAACGGAGCAGACCAAAGAACAAATGGGGCCGGGAGTTGAAGGTAGGCATCAAGACCGTGAATAAAACTAGACAACAACCGGAAGGTGGAGCTCAGGACAGAGATGACTGAAGATTTCTGGTCGTGGCTTATCAGCCTGGAAGGGTGATAGGTTTAACATTTTTTTCATGTAAACAGCAATACTAAATAATACCAACTGTCGGAGTGGTAATGGTAGTTATATTACTAATAATGGCATTGTGAAGGTCAACAGTTCGATTAAATATATACTGCAATCTGTCATACTGTTTTCTATCGACCTCAAGCAGGATAAAAACCGACTTTCATTTTTTCAAATGATTTATGATAACTGCAAACTCACATATAATGACTTATTTAACTAATGAATTATTTCGATAGAGTATAAAAAATCCATCAGTACTACACATAGGTGTATAAAAAGATGCAAAGAAAAGTATGCTTTGAATCAATACTATTATAGGCTATAAAATGACTATGCACACGGTAGGGAAATCACGCATAGCTGGGAAATAAAGAACAATGGAGACTGATGAAGGTCAAGTGGGAAATCAACAAGAAGGTTACTAATAAACACACTATAATTAAATTAGACTAAAACTAAAGATAAAGAATTAAAATACACGAATTATCATTACAACTAAAGAAAAGTTAGATAAAAAGGAAAGGAAAATCAAATTGAAGTTAGTTAACTTACAATCAAATAGAAAAGATACAAGTGTCAATGTTCAAGAAAATAATCCTGAATACTTGTGAAATGAATTTTTCTGGATATATATAGATAAACAATATCGAAATAAATCAACAAAAACGGCATGAATAGTTCAAATGTGAAACATATACTCCGTTAAAGATAAACAGATACATGAATCGTATATATATAAAGACAGAAAATTTCGACTAACCCAGCATCTTGAGCTTCATGTGCACGTATTATAGAGAGAAGACTGTTAGTCTGTAGGAAATCACAGCAAGCATCATAACTATAGGGTTGGTCGATTTGAGCGAAACCATTTGAAACAATTGAAGAAACCAAAAGAACGAAAAATTTGGAAGTAAACGAAATAAACTGTTTTGAAAGGTAAACATGTCAATCAATAAGATTTAACTTCTTAATAACTAAAATTATCAGATGAATAAAACGGTTTTTTAAAAAATCGAATTTAACTTTTACTCATAAAAAGAAAAACATTTATTAGTGAATGAAACTGTTATAACAAGGACAAAAGCGAGTTAGTGCTAAATGTTAATGATTAGTTGGAAGTTGTAGAACTTCACAATCCAACCCTTTTCACTTTAATTCTAAGATACTACATAAACAGTCCCTTGTGCTCTGCTGCCCGACTAAACGGGACATTAAGAACTCGGAAAGATTGGGAAACACACTGTTGCCTCTTCGTTGTCCCTGCCTACGCTTTCACTGACTGCAGTTTCAATTAAGTAAAACATTAATTTGATAGGAAATTTCCAAAATTCCTTCAAAAAGCTACACGCTCATATGTGGTAATCGTGACGGGTGATTCTGATTGCAAAGCAGATATGCTAAACTAAGCCGAAAGACACTTGGGTGGATCATAGGGTATTGCGGCTCAGTGGTCAGAAAATTGCAACAGTCTGGTGCAACTATGCTTATATAACTGTCTATTTCGGGCAAGTACCAACTTTAAGCACAATGAAGGACATTATCTCGCATGACGACACCCACAATCGACTCAACGATGGATAAAAACAAACCACATTCCCATCAGCCATTGTTTGAAAGGATCGACAGAAGATTGCTGTTCATTCTGGAGCATATGTGTAGGTTCAGATCATGCTTATTTAATTGCATCTGAAATGTAGCGGCTGGATGTACAACGGACTCCTGTGCTAAAGATGAGGATTCCATCGCTAAACTTTGTTCATCTTTATTAAAAATTTTTAACTGAACGACAATAACGAGCTGACCAGCTTGCAATGGAAATACGCAAAAGAGACTGATCAATAGCAGCTCCTTTAATCAACAACGGGAAAATACGAACACAAAAACATATGTCAATAATGATTAGATTTCTTCATATATTAATACATTACGATAAGCTTAAACCATGGATCGATGAATTGAGAATTAAACTTTTAGTTAGAAAACGTTAGGTTGAAGAACCTGAAAATATTCTGGAGATAACTTGATCGCAAAAAGATATTAGCTGAGAAATCACTGAAAAAGAACGAGTACTGAACAACAGCTTTTCCATCCTAGTTTCGGTTAATAATAAGCATGGTGCGTATAAAACACTAACAATCATCAAATTAAAGAAATTCAAATTTTTCGGAGAGCATGTTATCTTTAGACAAGCCTGAATCAATTGATCCATTAATTTCTATTATTAGTCAATTCACGATAATAAAATAGAAATCATATGATATCATTGGCGCGTGACTGTCTCATAATCGATGTAGTCTATATGATTATTACATATCGTACCAACATTATTCGTTTAGTGACTTGAAGTATAGGTGACATTTCAGCATCTGATTACTAATAAACCTGACCAATTAAAATTTAATCTGCATGATATTATGATATGACATACAGTAGTTACTTGCATATAAGCAATATATAACCTACAAAAAAATTTCGGTTAAACATAGGATTCAGAATACTTGTATGAGTCTACCATATAATATTTGAAAAGAGATGTCATAACAGTTTTATTCACATGATAAACAACTCATAATAGTTTGTCATAAAGTACCCACTGAGTGTAAAACACCAAATTTTACTGACTTATAAACATTTACTTAGCAATCTATCATTTTACCACTCTAAGACATAAATATTACTTGGTTTAACATACAATGAGACAAACTCTTTACAAAATAGAATAAATTATGAAGTGATTGTCAGTCACACAGAAAAGTCGTCAGCTTGCACTCGATAGTATTAAGTAATTGAACAGAAATTAAAGATGTATTCACTGAAGAAAATATTTTTTTTAATTTTCGAGCATAGACTGAAAAAACTATATTTTGACACAACACTGTTAGGTTAAGACATTTTGTAGATCTTTTTAAATGCAGTTTTCAAAAAATTGAGTCAACTAAGGAAACACTGTACTTGGTTTTGAACCATAGTGTTTATATGAAAATTACTGATATCATATGGATGCTTAAACAGAAGTAGGTGGAGAGGATCGAAGTTGGTATTTGTTAATTGAAAATAGAGGGCTATAACCACTAGATAACTGCTTTATAAGAGAAACGTTGAAAATTAGAGGGCATTGTGTAGCTCATTTGTCTCAGTTATATAAATTCATGACTTCAAGCGAGATCAAGAAAACGACTAGTACAAACTACAAAGTTAAATCCGACGTGCTACATATACACAGCATTACTAAGTGTTTGGTGTGATTCCCATATAATAACCAATGATATGATGTTGCTTTATTCTTGACAATTTCGAATTCTTAGGTTAAAAATACGTTCTATAAATTTATGGCAAAACTATGCAGACAGTTCAATAAACTTCCGTTAATTAATGAATAACAGAAAACAGTCGTAACAAGACGGTTAATATTGAAAATGTACACAAAAGACCAACATCAAGTTGTTTATATTGTTGACTATTTACACCAAGCATATATGAATAACTAGGTCAGAATTTCGTTTTTTTTTTGTTTCAAGATTCATCGGAAGAAAAGAATCCGTATACTAAACATAATACGTATTGTAGATACAACTCGAATTACTCCAACGGCAACCCCAAAGATGACTTTTTCAAAACTGAATAGCGATAACAAACGGATATCTGTTCGATGTAGGTAAACTTTATTCATGAGATTAAATAGCAAAATAATTAAGATAATTGAATGAGAGAAGAAATACAACCGAATAGACAACATTCGTCAAACTTTTAATTAAAATTGAAAAAAAAAAAACAGCTTTAAAACAAATTTAGCCAGTATACAAAAGGGACGATAATAAGTTAAGCCTACCTACCTGAAAAAGAAAGAACAACCTCTAACACAATTATGAGAGAAATGGTCTAATGATTTTTCACTCCCAAAATCTTCCAACGGATCAGACCATAAAAGGTCACACATTGAACCAAACGCAGGAGGCTCTCTGTATCGATCAATCTGTCAAAAAAAAAGAAAATGAAATATCGGTAACTTTGGAATATATATTAGTGATGCAGAGTATCGTAAGTGTTTTATTAACAATAAAATTAACCCAACATATGACTAGTAACTTCGATCTATGACTGTTCCTAGCAATCCAACAGAAAAAATTGAGTGAAGAGGTTATAATGAAAAATACAAAGGAAAAACACTGACAAACTGCGAAAGAAAACTTTTTAACTATCTGTCAGTGAAATAAGACGTAGAGAAAGATATCTTTAGCATAAAATTTCACATATTATCTAAAAAACGTTGAAATGATCAATCTCTACCGATTCAGTGGATTTCTACTACAGTCAGTCTCAAGAAAGCAAATGCATTATGCTAAAATGTTCACAATTAACAATCACTGTGTGAAATATATGGCGTATTACACTTGACTTTATGCTACATATATGGTTTGACGTTTTCAATCTCCCTTTCTATTATATATGCTTGATTTACTATTTATATGGTTCATCATTTATCATATATATATATAATGACGAAATATGTGTATTAATTTAAACAAAATCAAGTTTGTACAATTAGGTCTTTATAACTCTAAACAATGGAATAAATATGAATAAATAGCTAGTTAATAGTATCATCACATTATCATTACCTCAGAAAAGACAAAGCAATCAGTTTAGATTGATGAGTGATAGAACCATGGCATCCTCAGTCAAACACATAAAATTGAGTTAACAGACCGAATGTATATATAAGGATAGATATCCATAGTTTTGAAAGTCAGACATTCTAACATTAATGTGCTTCTAGTAAATTTGGTACGTGACTAATAATGGATCCTAAGATGAATAGTTCATCCGATCCATGACTCATCAGGTGGATTCTCCGATTCCAGTGTGTTGATATTTACAACTAAACTCAAATTCAATGCCTATCGCTTTAAAAACTCCCATTGCTAGGTACATACCAAATATACTGAGAAACCTGTAACATAGTGCTAAATCGAGACGAATTGCTCAGAATGTGGTACAAATAGTGACAGACTAATCGATGGAAGTCCTAAATATAAAAAAACGAGAAAATTCAAACTTACACATAAACTATGGACTTTCTTTACAATTAAAAAAAAACATATACAACACAATGTTTCTTGACTGTTTTACAACTACATAGAAACAATAAACACAATAGTATAAATAATTACGAGGTACCGAATTAATATAGATTTATAAACATGGACCATCGATAAATCAAATCTGTGGATTAAAAAAATGAACCATTTATCCCTTGAGATTTTAGGAATTCGGAGCTCACAATCCCTAACTAGAGTACCAATGAGCACTGTTGGACAGATCGAGGAAGTAAGAACAAAATAAAATGTAGAATGATCTCATTAGTTTCGCAAGGTTGTTGCCAAGTTAATGTTCAAAGCTAATGACTAAAGCAATTTAAGAAAAACAGTACTTTACTAATGTTCCTATGACGACACTCTACATATTTACGGGGAAACAAATATACCAGCTGCGAATAACAACAATAATTATGAATGAATAACCATTTTATTTAACAAAGGAGGAGGTCAGCAGACAACAGATAGACACTAGGAAGTAAATAACTGATCAATGTGACAAAACAAATATAACAATAAAAGTAAGTATCAATTCATAACATGAGAAAAATGGCTATATTTTTGGTAAGATAACTCTACATAGATCATTTGTTAAAACTGGAAATTAATTTGTAACATATGTATTTTACTTTACTGACTGTTATAATTTCACTCTTTTCCTAAGTATAAATAGATAATGTAGAAAAAAAACAGAATTTAAATCTCCTTTATCAATCATTTGAACTGGTTAACTTCCTTCTGTACCTAGATTAGAATGAATCTAGCTACTCACCATTCTCTTCTAGTTACAAATACTAGAAAAAATAGATCAACTATTTATTTTCAAGTATGTGTTTGAATGTTGTGAACGGAAAGTTATTTAAAAACGTGGACGATGAATCATTTTAAGGATACATTTTTATCCATATATTTATACATGAGAATGATGTCAACATCGAATGAGACAAGCAGTTTTGGAATAACATTGATACAATGAGCGTAAAACATTTCTACCTGATAATATTAAGACATACTGCTAATCCAATTAATAATAATAATAACTTTCAGGGATCGAAAATCAACAACAATGAAGTGAAGTATCATATATATAGTTCAAGTTCATAGTTTGTCTTGTGTATAAGCTCTCTCATTCATAACAACGTATTCGTGTACAACAACAGTGTATACTATTACGCACAAATTGTTACAGACAAAAATCTCATGTTTCTATGCAGGAACTTTCGACCACCACGATTAATGAATAGTATGCTAAACAATAGAAGATATGTTATGAATACAATGACATAAATTGATGGCTCCATACGAGACCGAGTTGTTGACTTTAAAATTCAAATGAATTGGGATCGAAAACAAAGATAATAGCCAGAAAATGATTGGATTTCATGAAAATAAACAAAATATTTACAGAAAATCAATTATGAAATACTGTGAGCGATTGAAGGAAATCAATGTTTGTAGTTAAAATAACGAGCTGATTCTAGCTAGAAGACCACCGAAAATCAAGGGACGCTGAGCAGTTGTTTCGTCTTGGCATGATTCTTCGGCAGTTAGCATCCATGATCCCACCGAAGATTGAACCAAGAACCTTAGGACGAATACATGAACACTTAACCTATACACCACATACTCTTCAATCAACTAAAACCTTTTTCAACATACATATTCCTTGAAGAGCATTTAAACTACATAATTAGTGGAAAAATAGGTGCTTATATAGAATTCGCTTATCTCCAGGATTATAGTCCCATGAATAGTGGAATCGATAAAAGCTGTCTCATTTTCTTTTCTGTAATATTTAATATATGAAAGAAAAACTTCGAAATGTACATACGGTACTAAAACTACTCACAACTACACAAATAACTTGAATATTAAATTAAATTTAAGAAAACGTCTAAGATTCAAATAAATGATTTTAACTTTAAGGTACATTCTCAAATTACTGGAAGAACATATAAGGCTTAAAAGATAGAATTGTATCCTTTAGAAACTGTATATCGAACTGTGTTACGCAAACTTAGAATCGTTCAAAAATGTTTTATCTGTTAAGAAAATCCATTATTGACCAGCAAAACTTAAATGGATACCCAAATAGCCTGGGATGTACTAGAATTTAATACCATATATAATCCTCATGTTCATTTGTACACATCGACAGCCATGTTAAACAATTCACTCTTAGCTAGTGAGTAAATTTTTTATCGATAAACAAAGTAATACATGACATATGCCTTGAAAAGTTCACTATATCTCGACCAACTGTTAATTTTCTAATAACCGGAATGGCTAGTGTGACCTTATTCAAAGCCTCAGGTCACATACGATAATATTAATAGTCATAATCATAATAATAGTAATAATAATAATAACAATAATAATAAATAGATAAATAAACAAATAAATAAATAACATAAGTATAAATAATCACCATTGTACTTCGCGACTTTATTCACATTCACATATATATATAAGAGTTATCATATGATTAAATAGATAATTATCGGAAGGGGTTTTGTGGAGATTTTAGTAATTTCAATTGTTGAGATGATGAGTCAATTAAAGCTAAACCACCATGGAAAGCCTGGAAGCACTAGACGGCCGTTTCGTTCTATTGTGGGACTCCTCAGCAGTGCGCATCCTTGACCCCGCCTCGCGGGATTCGAACCCAGGTTTTCCACGGTGTTCTAGCCTCAATTGACTCATGATCTCAACTATTGAAATAGATAATTGTTTAGCGTAGTGTTTCTTTTCGGTTTTATTTATTGATAATTCCGATGCTAAATATCTTCCTAAAAACGATTAAACAAAAGAACTGAACAGGATGTTGAAACTAATGAACTCAAATCATTGAGGTTTTCATGATTTGTTCATTATTTTCTAAATACTCGATCCTGAATTCCCGTGAAACTGTTCAAATCTCGACAACAGCTTATAAATGCATGCAACTTTTTCGAAAATCATAGAGTTTGTAGACTAAATTGACAAGAACGAGAATCCTATAAACCCTAATCTTATCTTATAACTAAAAAGGAAGCATCTAATAATGACATTTTATATTATGAGTAGCTAGAATAAACAACTGCCAGAAAGAACGAATTGAGCGAAGAAATTTCTTTTCAATTAGTTTTTCATCATGGCTCTACACTAATATATATATATATATATATATATATATATATATATATATATATTACAATAATAATATAATATTCAAAAACGAAGAATATTTGAGCGAACAATTGTTTTCAATAACTTCATCATCAGGCTCTACAGTTATAAGTCCGTGGTTGGGAAAAGGAGTCACCAAATCGATTAACAGCACCATTCTTTCTCACTTGGTAGATAGTGAACATCATATTAAAATAGAGGAAGCTTTCTCTGTTTTATATCAAGTTCCAAAATATCTACCTCAAGGAGCTAGATTACGACTGCTTTACACAACCGAAGCCATCTGGATCAACTCCAGAAGACCTAACTTATGCATCCAGAAAAAATATATCCAGCCTCTATGTTTACCCTGGCCTACGACTAGATCACCAAATACCTAGACTGAATATTATAAACCTCTTACCCCTTCCTTCCTTCATTTTTATTTCTTTTCCTTATTATCATTATTTGTCATTATCTATATCTTAATCTTCATATCCATCATTCCCAATTTGTTGACCGTAATTACCTTGATAACACCCCCCCTTATTACATATTATATTCACACAACATTATTATTATTATTATCTCAGTTGACAAAATTATTTTCAATTTTGCAATAGTACTATTATATTATCTTATTGTGACTGAACAATTTACTGACCTTTATTGAATGGCCTTTATAATTTGCAAATATTACAATTTTTTCTTTTTGAAGTATATATTTATA